TGGGGGTTTTTTATTTTAATTTTTAGGGGATTTTTTGGCTTTTTTTTTCAGTTTTTGGAGGGTTTTTTTGGGGATCTTTTGAACCTGGTTTGTCCCAGTATGTCCCAGTCCATCCCAGTCCATTCCCAGTCCATCCCAGTCCCTCCCAGTCCATCCCAGTCCATCCCAGTCCATTCCCAGTCCCTCCCAGTCCCTCCCAGTCCATCCCAGTCCCCCCAGTCCGTACCCACGCTTTTGTCCTTCCCCACTCTCCAGGCCAGGGGTCCCTCGTGGATCATCCGGTGCGAGGTCAGGTCCAGGTTCTGTGGGACCAAAATCCATGGAAAACACCCCAAAATCCACGGGAAACACCCCGAAATCCATGGAAAACACCCAAAATCCTGGGAAAACACTGCGAACGCATGGGAAACACCCCAAAATCCAGGGAAACAGCCCAAAATCCAGGGAAGCAACCCAAAATCCTGGGAAAAGCGGGAACACCCGGAATCCTGCTCGTCCCTCCTGGGAAAAGCGGGAACACCCGGAATTCCGGCCGTTCACCCCAGAAAAATGGGAACACCCGGGACTCTGCCCATCCCAAACCCCAGAAAATCAGGAGTACCCGGAATTCCGCCTGTCCCAAGCCCTGGGAAATGGGAACACCTGGAATTCCGGCCATCCCAAACCCCAGGAAGTGGGAGTACCTGGAATTCCACCCGTGCCAAGCCCCGGAGAACGGGTGTACCCGGAATTCCGCCCATCCCAAACCCCAGGAAAGAGGGAACACCTGGAATTCCACCCGTCCCAAGCCCTGGGAAACGGGAACACCCGGAATTCCGGCCGTGCCAAACCCCAGGAAAGCTGGAACACCCAGAATTCCGCCCGTCCCAAACCCCAGGAATGTGGGAACACCCGGAATTCCGGCCATGCCAAGCTGTGGGGCGCAGCGTACCCGGAATTCCACCTGTCCCAAGCCCTGGGAAACGGGACCACCCGGAATTCCGCCCGTCCCAATCCCCGGGAATGTGGGAACACCTGGAATTCCGGCTGTGCCAAGCCGCGGGGCGCGGCGTACCCGGAATTCCACCCGTCCCAAGCCCTGGGAAAAGGGACCACCCGGAATTCCACCTGTCCCAAACCCCAGGAAAGTGGGCCCACCCGGAATTCCAGACGTGCCGGGCGCGGCGTACCCGGAATTCCGGCCGTCCCAATCCCTGGGAAACGGGCCCATCCGGAATTCCACCCATCCCAAACCCCAGGAAAGCGGGACCACCCGGAATTCCGGCCGTGCCAATCCCTGGGAAATGGGCACACCTGGAATTCCGCCCATCCCAAGCCCCAGGAATGTGGGAACACCCGGAATCCCGGCTGTCCCGAGCCGCGGCGTACCCGGAATTCCGCGGCCAGCGGGTTGCTGCAGCGCTCCAGCGCCGAGGCGTCGAGGCGCCGCTGGTGCTGCCGCAGGCGCTGCCGGTTCTCGGCGCGGCGCACGGCCTCGTCCACCGCCCGCAGCAGCGCCCGGCTGCGCTCCCGCGCCCGCCGCAGCTTCTCCTGCTCCACGCCCGCTGGGAATGGGAATGACAACGGGAATGACAACGGGAATGACAACGGGAATAATGGGAATAACAACGGGAATAACGGGAATAACGGGAATGACAACGGGAATAACAACGGGAATAACAACAGGATCAATGGCACTGATCCCGCGCCCGCCGCAGCTTCTCCTGCTCCACACTGCCCGCTGGGAATGAGGGAAAACGGGAATGACAACGGGAATGACAACGGGAATAACAACGGGAATAACGGGAATGACAACGGGAATGACAACGGGAATGACAACGGGAATAACAACGGGAATAACGGGAATGACGGGATCAGCGCCACTGAGCCCAGCCCGCCGCAGCTTCTCCTGCTCCGTGCCCACTGGAATGGGAATGACAACGGGAATAACGGGATCAATGGCACTGATCCCGCGCCCGCCGCAGCTTCTCCTGCTCCACACTGCCCGCTGGAACGAGGGAAAACGGGAATGACAACGGGAATGACAACGGGAATAGCAACGGGAATAACAACGGGAATAACAACGGGAATAACAACGGGATCAATGGCACTGATCCCGCGCCCGCCGCAGCTTCTCCTGCTCC